CACACTGGCCAGGGCAAAATGTGCATATTTTGAATGTATAGTTCAATAAGTTTTAAACTCATGTGAACACCACCCAAAGGTAATCTCTATTCTGATTTTTACCATCATAGAGTTTTTAAAAGAACTTTATGTAAAGAATCATATAACATATTCTTTTATGTCTACTTTCTTTTGCTCAACATAATTATGAGATTCATAGAAACCTCTTTCTTTTTAATTGCTGAATGATATTCCATTGTATGAATACCACCATTTGTTTATCCATCCTCACGTTTACAGACATGTAGGATGTGCCCAGGTTTGGACTATTTTATTTTTTTAAATATTGTTTTATTCACTTCAGAGAGGAAGGAAGAGGGAGAGAAAGATAGAAACATCAATGATGAGAGAGAATCGTTGATCAATTGCCTCCTGCATACTCCCACTGGGGACAGAGCCCTCAACCAGATATGTGCTCTGACCTGGAATCAAACCATGACCTCCTGGTTCATAGGTTGATGGTCAACCATTGAGCCATGCCAGCCAGGCCAGATTTTGACTATTTTAAACCCAGGATGGTTAATGTAGCTATGTGATAAACCCCTTCATGCCCCCCTGCTTCTCTTTTCCTGTGTAATAGTGCTTGCAAATCAGGCATTTGCTGACAGTTAGGGCTTGTTTCCAGGAGGGAGCTTATAACCAAGGGCACCACAGAGAGCACAGAACAAAACTAGAGTGGGTCTGCCAAGTCCAGGACAGATGTCTCAGGAGTTCAGTGCCTGGGCACAGAGTGGCAAGCCTGCAAATTAATGGAAAGCTCCTGAGAGAGAGAGAGAGAGGAGGGAGGAGGAAAAAACCTAGAGAAAGCCATCACAGCAGTTGTTCAGGTTTACTCAGAATGCTGAGTGCTGATGACACAGAGTGGGTGGGGATGGTTCCTCCCAGTTGGCCCTGTTGCAAGCATCACCAAATGCCCATCTGGGCTCCCTTCTGCTGGACATCTGGGGTAAGGAGCTTTCCCCAGATGACTTGAAGTATTTGCTGTGCAGCCCTTCACTGCTCTTCCAGTACTGGCTACATAAAAAACCCCATGGCCTCTTTGGGCAGATGTTTTGGTAATTGGAAAAAATACTCCCCCTAGCCTTAAATGGTTGTCATATATTCAGATAGTCATCATATTACCCAAGAGTAGGAATTGTGAGTTCTTGGCAGAGTGGTTTAAGGGAGATCAGGCAGGCAGGCAGATGAGCAGTTAGGAGCCAGGAGTCCTGGATTGTGAGAGGGATAGCTGAGTGCCAGTTTAGGTCCAATCCCTTGGATCGGGCCTGAACCAGTAGTTGGACATCCCCTGAGTGGTCCCAGATTGGAGAGGGTGCAGGCTGAGGGGGAACCTCCTCCCCTGCACAATTTTCGTGCACCAGGCCTCTAGTAGTATATAAAAGCCTAAGCAACAGTTACAACCATTCAGCCGAACAACCGGTTGACTGATCGCTATGATGTGTACTGACCACCAGGGATTAGACAGTCAATGCAGGAGCTGCTCCCTGGTGGTAAGTGCGCTTCCACAGCCAACCTCCTGTGGCTGGAAAACTTCCCATGGTCCTTCCCACCAGCTGTCTGGCCAGCCTCCTGAAATCCCACCCCCCAGCCAGCTGACCCTGATCGGGACTGGGCAAGATGACCGATCACTGGCCAGGCTGAGGGACCCCACCTTTGCATGAATTCATGCACCAGGCCTCTAGTGCTTTTATAAACATTTGTGTATAAGTATTTGTTTGAATACCTATCTTCAAGGTAGACACAAAACATCACATATTGTGTGATTGCATTTATATGAAATATCATTGGAAGTAAATCCATAGAGGCACTAATATAAGTGGAATAGGAAATGGTAGTGACTGCTTAATGAATTCAATGTGCGACTAAAATGCTTTGGAGCTAGGTAGAGGTGACAGTTGTACAACATTCTGAATGCCACTGAAAACTTGAACATGGCTAATTTTATTTTACTTCAGTTTTACCTCAATTTTAAAAAATTGCATCATATAGTTTTTGTGATCTCATAAATAACTGGCTTTGCTGTCATAGTTACCTTGTGACTGCAGGAACCCATGTGCTTACAGTAGTAGAACACTGGGGAAGTTCTTTCCACCTGTGGGCAGGAAAACTGCAAGATGGATGATCCCAAGTGGGTTTCTTTCCAAAATAACCATTAAGGAATATAGTTTGTTTTTTTCATTTTTATTTGTAGAAGTTGGTAAAATTTTTATCTTGAACAGGTCCTAGGTTTTAAAGTTTGATCTTGACTGATACTGGTTGGTTTCTTTATTTAATTTGAGAAAGCATGTCTAAAATAACTTTATATTATTTGGAGATGGAGCAGATTTTGCTTTTATAAAAATTAAGAGTAAATTTAAAAAAATTAAAAGTAAATGTTAAAAAAAAGAATCTATAAAGGAAAGAAAAGGTAGCGACTTTACAGTAGAGAAAGTAATTCTCCTAGTGCTAATTAGTTCCTGTCGTCCTCTTCCTTATTTAATGTCTAAAATAACTTTATATTATTTGGAGATGGAGCAGATTTTGGTTTTATAAAAATTTTTAAAAATACACATGGAATTGTAGTAAGATTTTTCTAATGATTTGCTATTCTGCAAAACTGCTAGAGATTTTTGTGACTATTAAAACTAGTACTTTCTATTGTCAGTGGAATTGATGTCAGAAATAAAAATTCAAAAAAAAGAGAAAATACTGTTTTAGATCAAGCAGAGCTTGTGTAAAAACTAAAAACCTTAGTTCCTTTCTTTCTTTCTTTCTTTCTTTCTTTCTTTCTTTCTTTCTTTCTTTCTTTCTTTCTTTCTTTCTTTCTTTTTTAAATCTTACACCTGTTTTTTGAAGGAGAGACTTTAGGTTAGATTCTGGCAAAAGGTCTGAGATTGAGAAGAATTTCTTACTCAGAAGAGTAGAACTGCTCTGCCAATATGATCATGAAACTTTTCTTTATGAGTAAAGTTGATGGCCCCCCCCCCCCCCCCCCCGCTTCTCCACTCCTCACTCCCCTCATCCTGCGCCCCGGGTTATATGTGGACTCATTCCTCCTGCAGATGTATCTGTGCTGTGTCGCACACACCCACCTGGTTCCTCTTGGGATCCATAATAGGCCATCCAGACTAAGAGTTTGTAGACTTGAAGCCAACAAAGCTAATTGGTTTCTAGTGGATTCAACCCACAGCTTCTGGCATCATGAGCATCATTCCCCAATCAGCTGGACTAGAGAGTAAAAGAATAAATGTCTTGGTTGAGCCAGGGCCTTGTGATTTTAAAGTTAGAAGGAAATTAGTAAGCATAGCAAACTGTCAGGAATAAATCTAGTAAGCTAAAGTAGTGGGTGAATGTGAGTATTCAGCTAAAAATAGTTATTGCTTCTGATTTCCATAAAATTATGGTTTCCTTTTTTGTGATGTGCACTGGATAATTTTTTAAAATAAGAAAAGGACAGTTTTTAAGTTGTGGAGAGTTAAAATTGTTTTTCTTTTTAAAATATATCTTATTGATTTTTACAGAGAGGAAAGGATAGGGATAGAGAGCCAGAAACATCGATGAGGGAGAAACATTGACCAGCCGCCTCCTGCACACCCCCCACCAGGGATGTGCCCGCAACCAAGGTACATGCCCTTGACCAGAATCGAACCCGGTACCCTTCAGTCCGCAGGCCAACACTCTATCCACTGAGCCAAACCGGTTTTGGCAAAAGTTGTTTTTCAATAAAATATTAATTAGGAAAAATTTCCAACGAGAGCTAATTCCACTAAACATTGAGCTACTATACAATGGCAGCAGCAGAGGAAAGTGAAGCAGGTGGTCGAGACTGCAGCTTACACGGCTTACATTTGCCCAAGAACCTCTGCCTGTGACCTGCACTTGGTGCATTTCCTTGCACAATTTACTTAACCTTTCTGTGCCTTAATTTTCCATCTGGGCGATTTGAATACTAGAATCTTCCTCATAGGGCTGTTATAAAGGTAGAATTAGTCAATCTAGTTAACACTCTTAGAACAGTGCCTGACAGAGTCAGAGCTACCTGTGTGTATGCTAAAGACATAGTGGTGGTGAAAGATAAGTAGAGTTACTTCGGTAAGGAGTGCTTTTTTGAGGGGCAAACGTGTTAAAATTTACAGTACTCACTGTCCTGACCCTTTCTGGTGTACCGATGCACTGTTCTGTTTCATGTTCTGAGATCCTATGGCATATTCTCTTTAGGGTCACTATCCTGCTAGTGTACATTTCAACCAAAGAAAATGCTTTGGAAAAGAAGTAAAGAACTTAAAAGAAGTGGTTTTTTAACTGTTTCCCAAGTAATTATAAATCACATGAAGCATCTTTGGTGTTTGTTTTTTTAACATAGTTACTGTCTTATTTTTTACTCTAAGAGTTGCTGTGTTCTTCATTGGCCCTGGGCAGAAGGTGAAAACATAGGAGTAAGGGTCAGAAACAAAGAGAACAGTTTTTGGCCTAGAACTCACAGCCTAGAACATTGTGGTACCTCTAGATTCCGTGCCAGGAAAACCCCAGAGCTTTGAATGGAAAAGCGGTGAGAAAGAACAGATCCTTGAAGGTGCACAGCCTTGAAGTTGTAAGGCCACATGTCAGTTAACTTTATCATTTCTGCCAAGCTATCTCAAACTTAGCTAGGAGGGAGAGAGGGAAACTCATGGGTGCAAAGAGGGTTAAAAATACAGATTTTAATGAGTCATCTTGTTCTGATCTATTATAAAAGACAATTGACTTTGCCTTATTTCCACTTATATTTTTCAGTTTCTACTAGCATTTTAAGTAGTTTTAACGGTCTACTTTGTATTTTAATGATCTCTTTTTACTCTCTCCATCACCTTGGCTTTTCTGTTTGTTTGTCATTCTGGTGAAAATGAATTAGGAAGGGAGATTGATGAGACTGGATAACTCAGCTCCCAAAATATACTTGATCTTTTTTCTCATGGAGTGATGATACACCGCTTCTTTTACAGGACTGAATTGCAACTGCAGAAACAACAACAAGGGAACCTTTAAAGATGCACACGGGACTGCATAAAGTGGAGAGAGATACTGGAGAAGCCAATGAAGTAAGAAAAAAGCATATTTCCCAGGTAAGTCGTATGCTTCTGAATTATAGCACGTTTCTTGCTATCGTATTTGCCATAATATTTAGTCCTTGTATTGCTGTTAAGCTTTTGGTTATTTTATCCTCCTTCCATTTTTATTGCTGAGGTCTTTGATCACATGATTTGTTTTGAATTAATCTAAAAATCTATATTAAATATGCAATTTATGTGATTTCTTGGATCACTTAGGAACCTGTCATGTCTTAGATGACAATTGGGTATTATAAAGGTACAGTTGTGTTTCTGTTATATGCAGATGTAGTCCAAGGTCAACTTTAAGTCTGAATGTAGAACTTATACTTTTGTTTTATTAAATTACTGCCTTGAAAAACTAGAACACTAATTTGAACACCAGTTTTTAAGTTATGATCTATGAGATGGGCAGCAATGCCCTCAGGAACAGTAAACATTTTTTCAATGCTAAATTTAACCCTAAAAACAAAGCAGACTGGTTAATCAATGTAAATAGACATAGCCTTCACTTTATGAACTATATGTGTCCTAACAAAATTTTATTATTATTAATTTAGTTGGGAACTCAATTTATTCTGTCATTCAGCACTCATAAGCTTAGACTTGGGTTTTTGTTGTTGTTAACATTTTTAAATAAAAGAGATTCATTACATAATTTTTCATTATAACATTAAGAGCTCTTTTCCTGTATACTGAGTAGAAATTTGGGGGGGGGGGGGGGGGAGTGGAGGAAATTGAGTCAGAGTCATTGGTGGTAATAGTGCTGGAAGCTTGTGCACAGCATCCTGACTTAGACATGGCAACTCCTCCACAAGCCTGGGGCCAACCAACCCATGGGAAATTCTAGCTTCTGGAACTTTCTGCCTTATGGTGGATTACAATAGGGCTGCTGTTGAATATGTGATGTATTCCAGCTTGCTCATTCTTTAACTGAGTTGGCAGCTTGAGTTAAAAAGTATTTCATGGTCTTGTATATTAGTCCTATAAACTAAAAATAAAGAAGACAAGTTTATTTGCAAGTAAATTTGTACACACATTTTCTATTGCTCATTATCATGCTGAGTCCTGCCCAAAATCTCCTCCCAGATAGCCACATGGTTCCTGTCCTCCTCCTCCTCCTCCAGGTTTCTGCTGTGGGGGCAAAATTAATGGGAAGGACAAAGCCAATTTTCTGTTATGTCAGAGTCTATACCTAGTATTTTGCCTACCTCCACCTTACCTCATTTTTCTCATCCCACTTCTATCAAGTATGATATTTTATTTATTCTACACATCATGCTTTTTCTGCTTCACCTTTAAAATATTTGTAGATTAATCTTTCACTTTTCAAGGTACATACCATTTAATTCAGCAATTGTATTTCTAGGAATTTATCTCACATATAAACTCATGCAGATGTGTAGGTAATTGTGTATCCCCTCAACCTCTATTAAATCCTCATGCATGCCTCCTGTCTCATAGCACTTAGACAGAGACTCAGTCTTGCTGGCATTGTTCTGTCGTGTCCATAGGTCATGTCTTTTGTAAGCTAATTCTAATATCAGATTTATCTTGATGTTGATATCAGTTTATTATATTTTCTCACTCAAGTCATGGTTTTCCTAGCTCTTGATATGTTGGGTGCTTTTTAATTCTATTCTGGACAGTTGTCAGTTATGTTAGGAGACTCTGGGTCCTATTTAAATTTTTCACCAGGAAGTCACCCCAATTAAGTTTAGCACACAGGTTGTATCTACTTTTGTAGGCTGTGATTCCAATGACAATTCACTTTTAAGAGCCGTGACTATTTTGGTCTGCTTGGCTATCAGTTGCAGCTGGGGCTCCCACTGATCCCTGCTGGTGCTAATGGGAGGAGGAGTTTCCCCAGACAGTGCTGCCTAGTGCATGTGGGTGAGAGAAGGGAGTCTCCCTCCTGCTGGAATGAAGAGTACTTCCTAGAGGCCCTGCAGGAGGGAGAGTGCTTTCAGCCTATTTTATTATCAGTGGCCCCTGATCTATCCTCCTTGTTGGTGCTTCCAGAACTTCCATTCTGTCATGGGGAAAGATATGCCTACCTGGGTTACCTTCGCTGCTAGGTTGGGGCTTGGGAAACACTGGGCTTGAGTTAGTTTTTTAGTTGGATGGAGTGGGGGTGGGAGGTGGTAGTGTCATAAGATGCCCTTGCTGCTATGCTGTCCCTCCACTCCTGGGATCTCTAATCTGTTCGCCTTCCCTTTTCTACCTTCTCCTTTGGTTGCCTCTTGTGTTATTTCCAGAATTTATAGTTTTACTTAGGAAGGTGGCTAGGAGAGAAATAAGTTACATAATCTTTTCTGAACCATGACTGTGTTCTCTTTAACCATTCATCTTTTGGATGATTAGGTTGTTTTAAATGGTGAGTACTGGCCCTAGTTGGTTTGGCTCAGTGGATAGAGCATCAGCTTGCGGACTCAAGGGTTCCAGATTTGATTCCAGTCAAGGGCATGTACCTCGGGTGTGGGCACATCCCCAGTAGGGAGTATGCAGGAGGCAGCTGATCGATGTTTCTCTCTCATGGATGTCTCTAACTTTCTATCTCACTCCCCTCCTCTCTGTAAAAAATCAATACAATTTATTTTAAATAAATAAATAAATAAATGGTGAGTACTGTAGACATCATGACTGGGGTGGGGTGGGGGTAGGGTTGCTTCCAATAGCCTTGGATTCTGAAAGGCTTCCTTACTCCACAAGCTGGTTGGCTGCCCAGTACAGCTGTTATTCATCTGCTTGCTTGGCTGGTGATGTCAGTTCTTTATGTCTGCTTCAAAGGCAGGCATTTCTTGTTGTTGTTATGCTTGTTGAATAATGCAGTAGTTGTCACACTTTCAGTGTGATTAAAACTTATTTATAGAGTCTTTTCTTAGTATATCTCTTTGGTCTGTTTTCTTTGTCTTTGGCAAATATTTTATATTAAATTCCATCATGCAGATTGTATTTAACTGTGATTTAACTATAGAATATTTACTTTTTATGTGACCATTTCTATTTCAGTGCTGTATAACAAGGACCAAGATTTTTCATAAATTACTGTGAAAAGTTTTTTACATTTTCCACTTATATATGAGAAATTCAAGGTCATCTCAGTTCTTCCACAGTAAATGTACCTTAAAAAAATCAGAGTGGGAAATTCTTTATATTGGAAGCCATGGGTCCCTTTGAATAGTTTACAATAATAGTTTTGCACAAATAATTTCAGGTTAATATTGCATACTATTTATTCCCACCCATTTCCTTTATTGGCTGTGACACACAGGAATTACGCCCATTGCTTGACTAACCTTTCTGACCTTTTGTTACTTGGCTATAAATTGACTTGGGTCTTTTGCAAAAACACTGTCGGGGAGAGGAGGCGGGGGGAATCTTTTTGTTAGAACCCAGCCAATTCCTGCTTCAGCGCAGAACAGTTTGTTCTCCTGAAGAAATGAGCCAGTTCAGTGAACAGAAAAACATAGCCATAAACTGGCATCACCAAAAATTGCAAAAGTGATTGCCCACGATCATTCCACAGAACAGGAAACTTTATAAAAAAAGACACTTCGGAGAGAAAAATACAGTTTTGAGTTCCACGGACTTTAGGAAGATGTAATTGACTTGTTAGAGTTGTAACCACATAAAGGGTTTCTTTTTCTGAGTTCTAGCAGTCCCCAACATTTTAACATTTTAAATGGGGATGTGGTAGAATTCTCCCTCTGCCATCTCAAGTCACAGACCTTTGTTATATCACGTATTCTCACATTCACACATCTCACTAGGCTGGAAGCTGCTTCTGTTAAACAATACAGCCATTTCCTGAGTGACTGCTCTGTGTAAGACTGAGTCCTGGGTCTGTCCCCCAAAAAAGACATTTATAGTGGTCAAGTGAATTATAAGAAAAAATAGAAAATAATTACAGTAATGGCAGGTGTGGTAACAGAAGAATGTACAAGACACAGATTCGGTACTTTGCAGACTGTCACAGAAGTGGAGTCATTAGAGTGAAGTGTAAAGACTGTCTAGGAGTTTGCCAACTAGATGAGAGGAGAAGATAATCTGGGCAAAGAGAGGAGCATATGTAAGTTGACAGACGAGTGAGGAGACAGCATGGGAGTTCCAGGCCCTGTAAGTATAATTGCGTGTGTATAAGTATGGAAGGAAAGGTGTAGTGGACAGTGAAACTGGAGAGTGACAGGGACTGGATACCATGTGTCTCAAATGCCACTTGCAACCATTTGAAGTTTCTGCTGTGGGCTTTGGGGGCTGTGTTAGGATTGAAATAGGGGCATGGCCTGGGCGAGGTAGGGTTTGTAAAGAGCCAGGAGCTCAGAAAGCACCGGACTGAGGCGCTCACAGCAGGCTAAAGTGGGCGAGCTTATCCTTCAGGGAATCACTTAAGACAGTGATCTGTGTGTTTTGAAAAGGCAGATATGGTTGTGATGCAGAGGACTGCATTAGGAAGGGTGTGTGTGTGTGTGTGTGTGTGTGTGTGTGTGTGTGTGTGTTTGCAGGCAGTAGAAGTCACTGAATTCACAGCATGCAAGAGGGGGTCAGTGTTCAGATCCTTGTACAGGATTCACAAAGGTGACCGAGGATTTCAGGGGGCCAGGAAGGAGGCAGGAACCCCAAGACTTCTGCTTAACTCTCAATATGCCCCATAAGGATGCTTTCACATATACCTTATTTACTTTTCACAATGAACCTTACACTGTATACACTGATACCATTCCCAGTTTGAAAAAGAGAATTCTGAGCTGTGGAAGGTTAAATACTTCCTTCAAGACCCAGTGACCTGCACTGGGAAGTTGCCACATCAGGGATGGAACTCAGGTTTATCTGACTCCAACCCCTGTGACAAGCCACTTTGAACAGCACTTGCTATACAACTGAGCCGACCAGTTAGCAAGTCTCAAAATGTCTTACTACTCTCTAAGAGCTATGCCTACAAATACTGCTAATACTGACCTAATACAATACTTAGATTTAAGTATTAATGCTGATACAATTCATATTTTTAAAGC